GGAATACCCAAATGTATGGCCCGTAGGGCACTAAAACTCAGGATCAGGGAATAGCAGAATGTCCACTGGAGAAACAGACAGGGACACAGGCACAGCAACGCCTTTATTCAAGGACTTAACTCTAAAACCGCAAAAGAACTGCTAATGCTTAGCAGAAATAAAGTAATTACAACAGGCCTCTTGACAGGACACATGGTTGTCAAGTGTTACCTGAACAAGCTCATTCTGTTTCATGGAAGTCTTTGCTGCAGACTCTGCAATAAAGATCCTGAAACAGCGGAGTAAATAATATGTCACTGCGGAGCTCTGGATCGCAAGCGACACTTTTTATTTGGGAAAGCTAGGCTAGAACCGGAGGAACCAAGCTTCCATCCTATCAAGGACCTGTATAAGTTGGTTAGGTGAAGGGTACAGGGATAGGAGAATGGGTGCAGATATAGAAAGGTGACAAATACAATAGGCCTCACAGATCGCAGTGTTTCTAGAGAGGACGGCCCCTTGTTATTGGAAAAACAATTTGCGCTACAATAATTGTTCATATTAGACCTTATAAAACTCTTATAAAATAATATAATAATTATACTACAATAAAAGCGTTAGAATTGTCAGCCCTAATGGTTTTGAAATTGCCATTATATAGCCAATTTTACTTTGTTAACTGGGGTTGTGCTTCATTAAATTTCAAAATTTAATTATTGGTTTAATTTCTATCCGAAACATTGGGGGAAAATAAATTAATTTTGATTTCTGTAGAAAAGGTATTTTGCGATATGATAAATTTTCTTTGAAATACCCTGGAATTTACAGGAGAGCATCTTCAACGCTATTCATAGTGATATGTTTTTCAAAAAAATACATTGTTTGCCATCTTCCAATGACAGGTAGGTGATCTATAAACACTGTGTTACTTTTATCACCTAATCAACATGAAAAATTATTTTATTCTAAATTTGAATAAACCATAATATATATTCATTGAGTTTTAATTTCAATTCAATTTCATTCGTATTGCCCTAAAATCTAAATTATTCAATATTCAGGCGGGACCACGCGGCACCCCATGTGTGTACATAACTACCTACCTATGCGTTCTATTAGTGTTTCTTAATTAAAAGGGTTATTATATTAGTTTAAATTGGCCGGGGTTGCCCGGGGCCTTTAATTCTTGTCTCGAAGCCCCATTTCCTCAATGTATACAGGCATGCTGACACGTGTATTTAAAAGTTGTTTTACAGAAATGATAAGGTGATATTACTAAGTAAAATAGTTATTTCATTTTTTTATACTTATATAAGTTGTGATTTTTTTTTATTATACATATATATCTTATTTAATTCCTTTATTTTTTCCTTGTGGTTTAACTTCTCTCAGTTTGTTTTTGTAATTTATGAATAATGAATTAGTTTTACGCACTTTATCAGATATTACTAGTAGATCATTATAGTTTCAGATTATTTATTACTAGTTACACACATTACACAACCAACTAAAATTATTATATAAACTTGCATAGATGCTGTGATCACCTCAAGAACTTAGTTTTATTTGCTAAAGCTAGTTCTTTGAGTGAATTCGAGCTAATAATGATATTTTTGTGTCACATGGAACAAACAAACGGCCAAAGCATTATGTAATTTTATAGTACTTAGTATCAACTCAATAATATACTTCAACACTTCAACCACCTTTAATTCCCATATGATATAGTTCCAAGTACCGATTCTTCTATTTATAATATCTATTTATAATTTATACTTTTGGGATTTTCTAAAAAAAATAATTTATCTTTCTTCTATTTAACTTTTAAAATTATAATATTTTTTTTTCAAACGTCACAAAAGAATCAATTTTTGGGACGTGATTGACAATATAAAAAATAATTTTAACGCCTAGGCAGTACTTTTACGGCTAAGCACAAAAGTACGAAAATATATTATTAAACTGACATATAGTGTCAAATTCAAGGAACGTAATAAAAGAATAAATAATAAAAAAAGCACCATAACAAAAATAAATAATAAATAAAGAGCAGAGAATAAAAGCACCATAATAAAAATGTGATAATAATATTGACAATTGATTTCTAAAATTTTGTCAACAATCTTAATAATATATAACGTTAATGAGAGCTGGTAAAAAGAATATTACGCACGACTGCAAAGTTGAGCGAATACTGTGCACACATATATCGATAATCATATTAGATATCTAATGTATATTATTTTTAGGTATCCATATATCGGTAACTCCAGGAATCCATACTAGGTCTGCTTCTCTGGAATATTATATATGACGGACTTCTCAGACTTCTAGTACAAAGTACTGGCCTATGCTGACGACATCGCTTTAATTATTAGGGCTGGAAGTGCAGAGGAAATAATTACGACAGCAGAACAGGCAACGTCCCAGATATGTTCCTGGATGGAGGAGGTGGGATTGGAAATTAACCCTCACAAAACAAAATGTGTTGCACTCGTAGGAGGTCGCAAATTATCAGGCCGGGACGTTCCGGCCTGGGGACAAAGCCATTGTGCTTAAAAGCACAGTAAAATACCTGAGAGTAAAGTTTCAAATTGGAGGTAATTTTACTCAGCACATACGCACGGTCGCGGCAAAGGCAGATAAGCGATATATACTGCTATCAAAGCTTATGCCGAACTGGGCCATTATGGGGGAAACCAAGCGCAGATTGTTGGCCGCCGTTCAGACGTCTACCATTTTGTATGCTTCCGAAGTCTGGGGAAAATCCGTTGAAGTGTAGAAGAATAGGGAAAGGTTAAGGGCAGTTCAAAGGAGATTGGCGCTGCGAATATGTCGAGGGTACCGCACTATATCAGCAGATGCTGCAGAAGTACGATAGATGATAGATATATAGAAGAATGATACCGATAGATCTTCTAATACAAGAGAGGAAGTATCCGGATAGATCACGAGAGAAACCGAGAGATATAACCGAGAAATAATACTGAACAAATGGAGCGACAGATGGAAACACAATATAGACGGGAAAGCACGGTGGACAAGACAACATATACCACATATCAGAAACTGGACAGATCGGAGCCATGGAGAAGTTACCTACGCTATGACACAATGTTTTTGTCAGGACACGAATCCTTCAGAAATTATTTATATAAAATGAAATTTACCGATAGTCCAAAATGCATCTACGGCGACCACGATAACGACACAGCAGAACACAATCCTGGAGTGCAAAAGGTGGACTTATGAAAGAAAGAAATTAATGGAGAGTCTAAATACAAGGAACTAACCTGCACTAACTTGGTTCTAACGATGTTTAAGTCAAATGAGGAAGCAGTCCGGGAATATATGGAAGTGCTAATATCTGTAAAAGAAAACGAAGCCAAAAGGTTTGGAAAGTAAAATAATTTTAATGTACTTACCATACTGCTCTAGTACTGCTCTGTACTCACCACACTCCGCTAGTGTCCAACTTTTACTGAAAGTTCTCAATTACCTGCAACATCACACTAAAATCGCCTCCCCAGAAGTAATGCCGAAAGTTAGTTCCTTGGGGAGATACTCAAAGCGGTTTGTGGAGATTTTTTTAGTCGGTAAGGTACCTCACAGTACCACCCTGACAGTACCACTTACGGTCTCTGGTTTGCAGATTTTTCCTCCACAAGGAAAATATCGGTAACTCGATATATCGATAACTATCGAATTGCCGATAGTTGTCATTCGATATTGCTATTCGATATATCGATAACTATCAATAGATAGTTATCGTCGAAAAAATGTCCGTCCATAATATCCAGCATTAATAGTGATGTTTTCTAATTTCTAGGAAAACTGAAAGCATAACTTATTTTGATAGTCGGTGTGTATCATACACTAACAAATTATGAATGGACGTAATTCAATAATGTTTAACCCTTTTTTTAAACCTAAAATCATTAAAATACTACATATATATATATATATATATATATATATATATATATATATATATATATATATATATATATATATATATATATATTATATATATATATATACAAGGAATAAAGTAGAGTTTAATAATGCAGACATTATAATGAAAGAACCGTTAGCCCCTAAATAAAAATAATGTCTATATAAAAATAACCGTGACATTACCTAATAAAATATCTGCCTAAAATTTTATAGTGTATGTGGTTGTATGTAAAGTATAGTACGTAAAGTGTGTGTTGTAATAGTTATTTACAGTACAAGTTTGTTTATGAACATGATTACAACAACGAGTGTGATCGATTAGAACGACGATGTCGTAGACCGAGTCATTCTAATCACACGAGTGTTATAATCGTGTTTAAACGCACGTGTGATGTACAACGTTTTTATCTACAACCGAAAAATAAGAAAATGCTGTTTTAATTTTCGTTTATTAGTCGCCCACCTTTAACACCTTTAACTATGACATTTGTCACATTTTTTTCTGAAAAGTCAGTTTGCCCTGTCAAGTAAACGCGAGCACTTTTTGACCAGAAAAATCATTTTAAAAATTACGATGACCGATTCCGAAAGTCTCCCTTCAGTTGTAGAAGTTGCTAAGTTGCTTCTAGTTGTGTTATAGATTCATAACACCACTAGTTGTGTTATGAATCTCATAACGTAACTGAAATACTAAAAAAATAGTGATGTAAAAACGTTATAACTAAACGGTTGTAAACGGTTGTAGATAAAAGCATTTTACGCACTCGATTACAACAGTTTTGTTATCCAACAGTCGAGCGATTCTTCGTTCGTTTTGCTTACCGTGCGTATATTTTTCCTAGTTTTAAGGTGATAGAGCAAAGTTTATTTACCTTTTTAATTTTAGGTAAATTAATTTCTCTTCTGGAAACGAATCATATAAACTAACACTCTATTTGAATTTGACTTAAAATAATAGAATACTCTTTTTGTATTATTATGTCGTTCTAATTCCTATTTTATTTCTATTTCTGTGGACGTCCAGGGGGCTTAGTTCTTCTATTAACGTCGTTTTTTTATTGCAGGAATTTGCCACTCTAACGAAAGAACTTAACTCAGCGAGGGAGCAGCTCCTAGAACGGGAAGAGGAAATTGCCGAACTAAAAGCGGAAAGGAATAATACTCGTGTAAGTATAGAGAAAATCCTGCTGATTACTTTAACGCTTTTACCTCATTGTATACTATTTGCGCTATTCAATCGAAATAATTTTATCATTTTAATTTAAACTTCTTTTTATAGTTACTCCCAACTTTTTAGTTAAATAAATTACTGCCCTTGATATACAGGCTGTACAGGGTATGTAAATTAATATGAAAGAGGCTACCTTTAAGAGAATAAGCGGTTTTCGTATAAAACTTCTCATTTTGGTGTTTCCAATCCGTGTTGATTTATTTTGAAATTATTTCCTTATACAGAGTTGACCGAATTGTTACCGATAAAAATAAGTAAAAAAGTTCGTATAACTTATAGTACGAGAGCTAGCAACGTCGGAAAAAAACAAGTATTTTAAGACGTCTGGCTCTTGATATATCTTTTACTATGCTCTCTAGAACAGCATGCGGCCCGTCTGGCTGCCGGTAAACGTTGCGTGTTCTACTGCGCATTGAAAGAAGATCCTTTATTTTTATTAGTCCTTTAAATTCTAGTATTGAATATAAACCGACCGAGTCTCCATAGCTCAGTGCGTAGAGGTTTCGTTTATCAAGCGAGGAGTCAGAGTTCCTCGCAGAGTTCGAATCCGGGTCAGGGCAAAAACTTTTTTATTTTATTTTCGTCTATATTCTGATAGTAAAGTATTAAATATTTGTTTTTTTTTGAATCACCAGAATTATTTAATACTTTACTATCAGAATATAAACGAATAAAGTAAAAAAGGTTTTGCCCTGACCCGGGTTCTAACTCTGAATCCTCGATTTGTAGTTTTTTAATTTAGTCCTATAAATTCTAGAATTGAATATAAATCGAACATGTCTCCATAGCGCAGTGCGTAGAGTTTCCGACGCACTGCGATATGGAGACATGTTCGATTTATATTCAATTCTAGAATTTATAGGACTAAATTAAAAAAAATATAGGATCTTCTTCGGATGCGCAGTAGTGAACGCAACGGGTATCGGCAGCCAGACGGGCCGCATGCTGTTTCAGAGAGCATAGTAAAAGATATATCAAAGAGCCAGAGTCTTAAAATACTTTCTCGAAAACGTTGCTAGCTCTTAGACTATTATGTCCTAAAAGGCTTGGTTCGGAAATACAGGGTGTAGATATTACATTCTTTTTCGATTGATTTTTGCCAATAATTTCTGAACTAACGTAGATATTTGTGTGAAAACTGATGTCTTTGTGTTTTTTGACATGAGAAATTTGATTTGATGTCTATATGACTTCTTTTTGTAGGGGGCGCCCCCTACATATTTTTTAACTGTTTTGAATGGTTATAACTTTTCGTCCGTACCTGTATTTAACTACTGAGTGAAAAGGTATACATTTGAACCAATTATTACATAAAAAGGTCTTTCTTGAAGTTATCGATACATGTCACCAATGACATAAAATAACTTTATATTTTTAAAGTGAAACTTCTTTACGAGCGATTGGAGTAAAAATTCAAGGACGTGACCTTGACCCATCCCTTGACACGACATGACCTTGACCATGCCTTGACGCACGAGCCAGCGAGAAAAAAATGTTGTAAGGATCGTGCAAACACCAAAAAACATTTGATTTAAAGCTAAGAAAACCGTTATAATAAACTTGATACTGTACCTACATATATCCAATATCCTCTGGTTGTATGCTAGGAGTTAAATTTTCATGCATATTTTCATCGATAGGTTTGTAGCTTCTGAATAACGGTCTAGGTAAGCATTTAGCTCATTTGCTAGCTCAGAATTAGAATTATTAGAGTTAAGGAATTCATTGTAAGCATTTTCATTGGAGGACATCGTCATATTTATTTCAAATCAATAATCAACGAGAATATTCGTATAATTTAACAAAATTACTGTAAACCACTATAAAAACGAATTGTTGGTTAAGTTCAAAATTTTTTCTCTTCTTAAATAAATTTAAGCGTTAACATTATTAGGCATTTGCATAAAGTGCGTATTTTGTGTGGTATTCCACAAAATGTGCAGGCTATTGAAGAAACAGAAAATGTGCAGATTACAGAAATAAATTGAAAGTAACATTTATATTAAAAAAGCATTATATGTCACTTTTTCAAACATGTCCTTCAAATCCTTCAATTTACTAGCTGTTAATAACTTCAAACATGCACACGTAGTGCACACACAATTTTTTATTTTCTTTTAATTAGGCAAAAAGTTTTCTACCAAAAAATATGATTAAACAGTTTCTGTTGAACCTTTGACACAAAAAACATTTCTAAATTTTATTATTTCAGTCTATTAACATGTTTAATTTTTGTCAGTGATGACATGTGTTGATTATTTCGATTCCAAATATCTTGAAAACCATTACTTGTAGCAATTTTTACCAAGATATTTTTTTACGTAAAAATATCGGAAATGTATATTTTTTTAGTTAGTAGTATAATGCAGGTACGGACAAAAATTTATTACTCTTCAAAACAGTTTAAAAGTATGTAGGTGACGCCTCCTACCTGTAGTAATTTTACATGCAAAAATATGTGTGTCTTATTAGTTTTTAACTTTAATTTTGTTATTAAAATAGTCTCATTGTAATGAATTTGTAAAGACTTTTTTAATGCTCTCAATTTTCATTAACATAGCTGGCTTTTTTTCCCTGTAGGTTTTAGAGGTTTGCTACTTAATGTAAATAAAAATGTAGAAAATATAATTCTCTTTATTTTTTGTTCCATAAAATTTTCAGTGGGATCTACGCCTACGGTTCAGCGGGAAAATCGAATCCAAAGTTTTTCGCGTTTCTCAAAAAAGATGGGCTGGGGGATACAAATTTTCGAATTGAAGCTTTTCCAGGATCACTTACGACTGACAAAGTATGAGAGGGGGGTAATTTGATGGGAGTCTAGACCTTTTTTGATGCCACATTGACTGTACTATATTAGAATAATTATTATCTTTTAAATGTAAGTTTTACTGGTATCACTGTGTATTTGATACTAAATTTCTCATATTTTCAGTCTATTAAAAATAAAATGCAATTGGGATTGGAACCCCTTGGGTGTTACAACAGCAAAATAACACGCCAGTTTACCGCAATACACCAAAATACTTTACCTTTTACACTATAGATACGTTTTGATAACCATATTAGCATTACGACTCAAAACTAGTAATCATCTTCTGATGATGCTAACATGATTAACAAAACGCGCGTACAGTGTTAAATGTAACCGTTATGTAACGTGGTCTGGTGTATTGTTGTGAATTAGTGTTTTATTTTGTTATTGAAAATATTTAAAAAAAATAAGGTGTTAATAAATTTTATTATTCTGTGCGTCAATTATACCGTGTTATCATAAAATTTCATGTTAGAGTAGTCTTGACTTCGATAGATAAAAAAATTATAATGTACTTTCCCATAAAGGCTGTTTCCTTGTTATCATTTTGTTTGCACCCTTGCCTTGATCATAAAATCTTTTGATCATATTTAAATAAAATTCTACTAACTCACTTTAAATAAAAATCTACTAAAGAAAGAATCTACAATTATTGCTTATTGTCTGAACTTCATTACTTAGTGGTTTATCTTTTTTTCGTTTCTTTTATAATTAAAGTATTAATTTGGATTCGCTTACTGAATTAAAATGCTATTAAAACAAATTATGCGATAAAAGCAAAAAACATTAGCATCGGAATAATTAAAATTTAAAGGGCGTTTTATCGCTACAGGGAAAATTACCAAAGTATCTGTTTGCTTGCTATAAACTTTTCAATTTCGCTGACGTTTAAAGAAATAGAAAAATACGATCTTAGGGATTAGGCTGTAGGGTAATATTGGAATTTTATCAATATTTATTTTGTAGCTGTTGTGACTTCATTATATCTTTCGTTTACAATTCTATGAGATCAGTAATTCCTAATAGAATCAAAGTGATATAAAAATTTGAAGAAAAATGTTTAAAAGTAATTTACCAATAAACTTTCTAGTATTAAATCTTCTGTTTTTAAGAAGGAATTTATTTTTGTATAAGTGTATTTCTACAGCATTATTTTGTATTTGTTCATTAAACTTTCGTACTATACAGTGCCAATAATAAAATTATGGGAAGTATTGCACGAATCAAGAATTAACGCAGCTATGATAAAAGCTGTACAAAATCTTTACCATGGAGGAAAATCACAAATAAAAACGGTTAACGGTCTCTCAGAGGAAATTGCTATTACTAAAGGACTCCGACAGGGTTGCTGTATATCCCCAACACTATTTAAAATTGATATTGCCAAGGCCTTACATCTATGGAAAAGAAAATGTAACGGAATGGGTATGGAACTAAATGACATATGCTTATACACCTTGCAATTTGCAGACGACCAGGCCATAATTGCAAACGACAAAGATGACATGGAAAATAATTGAAGAATATGCTAAATGGGGTCTGACAGTAAATATAAAAAAAAACGGAGGAGATACAGAGAAGGAGATTGGAGCCAATACAGAGAATCTTATTTTGGACAATAATATGGAAATTAGGGCATGTGAAGATTACAGGTACCTGTGTTCGATATTTACAGGAGATGGAACGGACGATAGAGAAATAAACAACAGAGTAATACAAGCACGAAGATCAGGTGCATACTGATCGGTTATCAGATGCATAAATGGCATTCGCTGGAGCACTGAAATTACAAAGAACAGGAAATATAATATATGTATACGAGGCACTAGTTAAAAGCATATTACTCTATAGATCATGGCGACTCACCGAAAGGAATAAAAGGAAATTAGAGACAACAGAAATGGACGCGATTAGAAAAGCAATGACAATTTCACGGAGGGATAAGATCAGAAATGAAGACATTAGTCGACAGATGAGAATAGAGGGAACAATAGTAAATGATATAGAACAAAAATAATTAATATGGTACGGCCACGTTCAGAGAATGCACAATGAAAGAATTCCAAAACAAGTAATTCATTGGATACCACCTGGTAAACGAAAAAGAGGACGTCCCAAGAAAA